AAAAAAAAAAAAAAAATCCTGTGTTTAATTAACTTAATACTCATCTACTACTATGAGAGATTGCCAGTGCAACGTTTTAATTACTCTGATGGAAAAAGAAAAGCCTGTGCCCAATATTAATTTTTTATTAAAAAATTAAGGATGTTTCAAGTCTAGGTTTAAGAATATGCAGTTTATCAAAAGATTTAATAAGCTGATGGAAACCTTCATCTTAATATTGAGAGAAAAAGGGTAAAAAAATTTCATGTAACCCTAGAAAAATCATAACATCTGTCTAAGATGATCTCTGAACATATTCACAGCAGCAATGTTTATGAAAGCCAAGAACCAATTTCAACTTTATCAATGGGACTGGATAAACTAGTACATCTATATACTAGGAATTCTTTTTGTTTTTAAAGAATTATTTATTTGATTTTATTTATCCATTCGATTATTCTCATTTGACCAGAAAAAGACAGACACAGAGAGAAGGAAAGTGAGAAAACAAGCCACTAGGTCCAGGACTTGAACTGTGGTTGGCCATGTGAGAGTATCCAATGCCTTAACCACCATGCCACCTGCTGGTTCTCTGTACTAGGAATTCTATTAAAAAACTACATCAGTATGTATCAACTTGGATAGGTTTAAAGCTAAATTAACAGGGAAAAAAAGCTCCAGGATGTATGTATTTACAGCATGAAACCATTTAAACAAACCCAAAGCAATACTACTCTACCCTCTTTTTAAAACATTCATTTAATTTTATTTATTACTATTATTCAATTTGACCAGAGAGAGAGAGAGAGAGAGAGAAAGAGAGAGAAAGTTGCCAGGTCTAGGATTCGAATCATGGTCAGTCATGTGGCAGTCTAGTGCCTTAATCACCATGCCACTTGCCAGCCCCCACCCCCTTTACAGAGTGCTTTTTACCGTAAGGTGCATGTGCTTGCCAAAGAGAGAGAGAGAGAAAGAAAGACAAAAGAAAGTGAGGTAATCACTACCCCAGGGGAGATGGTCATGCTGCAATCCACTCTTCTCTGTTCTCCTCTTGGGATTTTGGGCATGCACACACATGCACCCAGTGTGAGTTTTAAGCTGCCTGGTCCAGGATTTGAAATGGAGCCAGCTACATGGGAGTCCAGCAATGTAACCATTATACCATCTGCTGGTCCCTATTTATTTATTTATTTTTTAATACTACCTATTCTCCATGGCAGTAAGTATAGTAAAACTATACTAAACCAAACACAGTACTTATCTCAGGATACGAGACCACAGTGAGGGTGAGAAAAAAATGAACACTATATTCCTTTTAGAAAGAGATAGCGTTTGTATACTATTTGCTCTTTCTTTTTGTAAGGTGCACATGTGGACTGGAAGCAACTATATGCGAATGTTAATAGCGATGAATTCTTAGTGGCGGGAACATTTTCTCCATTACACTTTGCAATCCCACCACCCCCGCTACCATCCCTGTTCCCGAAGTAGGATCACAGCGACTAGAAAGATCGAATGGAAACAAGTGTCGATGGTATTTATCATTGATAGGCTCCTTTTTATTCTAACTTTAACTCTTTTGACTCTCCTAAATTTCTAAAACATCTAATTTTAATAGTTGGGGAGAACTCTTCAAATGAAAAGTTATCAAATATCATCAAGCAGACTTAATCATACATTGGTTAGCCAGTGCTGAACCCTTTTAAAGAAAAAGGTCAGTAGAGGTTGGGAATCCCAGATCCAAAATGCTTCGTAAATGTGTTTCAGGTTTTGGACTTTCCAAATTTTGGAATATTATCACATAA